ATGGTTATCAATTTTTACCAGAGAAAATAGTTTCTTTCAGTCTAGATAATCATAGCTAGCTCTTGGATGTTAATGTCAGGACTGACATTTTTTTGGCCGGCTGGATGGTGCTAACCAGCAACGGAGCCAGGGAGTGCAAGGGGACACTCACCCCCCTGGACTTTTGAAAAAAAGTTAAAAAAGTTAAATAGGTCCTATTCTTTTTTAAAAGTCAAATAAACCTTTCTTAAAAAAAATAAAATGGTGTGTTATAACTTCTTTTCTTTTATAAATTTATGATAAATCACTAACCACTTGACAACTAAAATAAATTTATGAAAATAATTTTTTTATTTGACATACTTGTTATTGTAATATATACATGATTAATGATCATTTAGAGTAAAATAAAATTGACTTAAAATTAGTATTGTTAATTTTTTATAACGTTTAATTTTACTATTTAGATTATATTGAATAATATTTTATGATAAAAATTGTGTTTCAATTTGAAATTTAAATATCCATAAAATTTACCAAGTTTTTCTATATTTAAAATTCTTAAAATTTTGGTTTTGTACATTTAAGTCTTAATTTAATTTACAACTCAAGAAATTCATTTTTTTAGCATATACATTTCAAATGACACTTCACCTCCTCTAAGATTATTTTCTAACTCTGTCGCTGGTGCTAACGCTACTTTTATCAATTTCTTGTTAGGTGTGGAATACATTGGAGGAGACATGTTCACTAAAGTTCCTCAAGGACAAACCATTATCTTGAAGGTTAGTGATTTTGTTTCTATGTTTTACTGAAAATGAAATAATAATAATGATAATAATAAAACTAACATAGCAATTTATTGTATAAACAGAAAAGAACCAGAGTATATTTACGATAAGATACAATATATGCTTGTAATTAGTACCATGGATTATTTTTGGGAATTATATATTCTAGTGGATTGAATTAAGATTTGTGCATAAAAATTTGAACAGTGGATACTTCACAATTGGGATGATGATCACTGCTTGAA